TGTCTCCCCAGTATGTGGACAATGAAGAAACGCGGCCACCTGCAGAATCGTCGTCCGCGTACCAAACCTGAGCCACAGATGGATTGGATTCCTGGAGGCGCCGAATCATCGGGACTGTAGCGATACCATACAGAGCCATGGCCAGCGGATCGCCCTGGCAAGTACCCTCCAGTGACTCAATCTCCCCGCCGCCGGAGACGAAGAGACGAATTGAAGAACTGTACGTGTTCTGGAACACCTTTGCCATAGCGGGGCATACATAGGGCACGTTATGGAGGGCCGCGTTTCTATTCAATGAATTGAACGCATTCGTAGCATCTACAAACAAGATGCCTTCCGTGTCCTCTCGTGCGAACAACTCCTGCATTGCATGAACCCCTGCCTCACAGGCAGACGGCACCCCAATGCACAATTGCATGGGAGCAGTAGCACGCAGTACATCGGACTCAAGCACCCGCATAACGGCACGACACACAAGCCGGCGGAACACTTCACCCACCGCAATCGGCCGCACACCTGGGTGTTTGTCCAATGGAATAAGTCTAGCGGCGGTAAATGCGGATAGGTGTTCCGGATCCAAGTCCTCCGAGCACAGGCATTGGGCAAAGCTGGCAAGAGCAGTACAGAGACCATCTGACGATTTGCGATAACAGGTTAGCATCCGGCACCACGCGTCAGAGTCCAGACCAGATGGGCCCGAGGACCCCTTCATCTGTCGGCCCAGACGTCGGATGAGCTCCGGTGTGATTTTCTGGAACACTATACTGTTGATTGGCTCCGGGTCGCCGGCGAGAAGTATCGAAACCGGGGGCTCGGCAGCAGGTGGATGTTTTTGCAACAGTGCCTCCTTCACGGTAGTTCCAGTTTCTTCGTCCACTACATCTGTCATACCCAGCACATCATTGGAAGAATCACTGGACAGGTAGCGAATGGCAGACTTAATTTTTCCCGAAAATACCAGGTTGCTGAATGTGATATCACTCTTCTCTCCTCCACCAGACGAGGTAGAGTACCGGGGCTTGAGACGATCCTGAAGGGACTCTCCTTCAGTAGTCAGATCATCTATTCGGCCAGATTTCCATAGAGTGAGTCGACGCCGTAAATGGTCGCTATAGTTTGACATCATCTTAGAATCATGCGGACGCTGGAGAAGCAGGTGGCAGGCAACACCGACGGCCTTCCATGCAACTGGTCGTAATGAGGAGCCATTGGTGAAACCCTTGATGAGCCCAGTGAGCACGTCAACAAAATCACCACCAGCCGAGCCCAATGGAACGTTGAATAAGTTTCTCCGCCAGGTCACCACCTTCTCATACGCTCGGGATATGTCGTTGTTGAGGGAGGTGTTCGAAGATAGGGAATCATCACTGCTCATAGTATTAACTCTGGCACCCGCAGGAGAGACCTGTGATGTAGAAGTCTGCCGAGCGACCGCGGCAGCCGGAGAAGCAGCAGCAGCAGGCTGGGCCGAGCCCTGCCCCACAGCAGCAGCTCCTGGCAACAGGGAGGGCGCAGGATCCACCCCGCTCCGCCCACCAATGCGATGAGCCGGCCGACCAACCGCGCCTCCGAAATCGCCGGCCGGTAATGACGAGGTGCCGGCATCACCGCTGTCTGCCGCTTGTCCAGAGGACTCAGGACCCGAAGCATCTAGGGTAGCCAGGAGCTCCACCTGAGAACCTGTGGGATGAATGTTGGATGTTGACGCTCCAGCCCGTGAGGTGCCAAGGCCATCACCTTGAATCTGAGAGGATGGATCAGTTATTACATCACTTGCAGGGGAAGAACCAGCGCGTGCATGATCTGCGCATACCAAGTTCCTCGGAAGTGTCGAATTTATATGCAGTGAATCACTGTCACTGTCGCTAGCTTGCGATCTATCTCCAGCGCAATCAACCCCGCGAGGTGCAAACCCAACCGCAAGTGGCTGGCTGGCAGGGTGCGCGTTGACAGTTCGAGTGACATTGCTAGCACCAGAAGGCTGTGAGGCAGATAACGAATTGTTGCACGTGCTAGGTAGCGACCTTCCTGGGTAGCAATCAATACACTTCCTCCCATGCCGAACACAGCTGCATCTCACACACTTTCGACTTGATTGACACTGGCAGCACGGCATAAAGTATTCCAACGGCTGGAGGTGCGAGGCTGGCAGCCCCTGCAGGCCCACTGCTGGTAGGTGGCAATGATGTTGATGAACGATGCTCTGGCGAGATTGATCAGGCGGGTACTGTTCAATCATCATCATCATCATCATCATCATCATCATTCTTATATATACATCAAGTAGTACTAAATAATTGAGAGGCTTTGAATCGTTTTTATCAAAATCAAAATATTTGTATTTAAAAAAAAAAAAAAAATCATCATCATCATCATCATCATCATCATCATCATGTGACCAAGCCGCTTTTACGGGCAACAATATTATGAATATAAAACGCAAGGTATTGTAAGAGCAATTTTCTGAAAATAATGAACACGAAATATAAAAATGCATTATCACACCGTAGCCACTTTTATGGGAAAATTCCAATACAAGGCAATAAGAAAACGAGGATGAAGTTAACCTTTTAAGGTGGCAGACTACCCAAAAATTCGCTGAAAAATCGAATTTCTAAATTCATATTGAGTGCTACGTCAGTTGAAAGAGCATGAATAGCTGCAAATTCTCTGAAAATTGTGTCCCGATCTGACCGGCCGTTCAAGAGTTATGGCCGAAAATGTGCCCTTGCAAGGAAAGATTTTTTTGTTGCACGCTGTCATTTGTTGGCAGCACTGTATTTGAATGTGAGCAGACCGTGCGCAACTTGTTGTATCATGGAAACACGTGAAAGTGTGCAGAATTTTGCTCCAAGTCCAAAAAATCAGGTTTTTGAGCCACGTATTGGGCCGTGCAGCAGGACTTTTGCCAGCACCCTCGTGACGTTGCAGATACATGTATGTGGCTTGATTATTGTAGTTGACGTTGATTTAGTGACTTTGGCAAGTTTGAGTCGTGTCAAGAAGTCAGGTAGGATTCAGTACTAGGCAGTAGTGAAACGTGAGTGGTAGTCTTTGCCGGTTTCTGAGGGTATCCTGGATTTGGTGTGCAGCGCTGTGGAAATGGCTTGCTGTGGAGGTCCCAGCACTGGATGTTGTATCAAAGGTACGACCTCGGAGCACGTGCTAAACCTAAAAAAATTCAAAAATTGACTTGGGTCTGTGGGAGTGTGTGAGAGAACGCCCACTCGTTCCGTTGTGACAGATTCCAGGGCCTCGTTGAGGGGCCCTACCCCATCACCCATGGCTGCTTCTGGACTTGTTCTAGGTTTGAGTCCCGCGCACGAACAGAATGAGCACGAAAATGTGAAAAAATTGTAAATGCATTTGTTTGGCTCCTGGGTGGCTCGTACAACGTGGCACTATGCCGGAAATTTGAGTTTTTCCGGCCTGGAAAGCCTGTCAGTGAGGCGCAAGAACTTGTAAATCATGTCCTGAGGGCCAGCATAGTGGCAGGAGTGTGTGGTCAAAATTTCACTCAAATCCATTGAGAAACACCAAAGTTACGGTCAATTGAATGCCATATGAAATTTATGGGTAGGCTGCCCCCTTAACCCAAAGAAAAGACAAAAGATGTCAACAATAGAACTACAAAAATAAAAAACAAATATCAGGTCATAAAAACTACTTTAAAACATAACCAAATGACAGCAAAGCGTGGAGAATGAGATTGACTTACAAAACAAAAATCATGATGATGATGATGATGATGATGATGATGATCATCATCATCATCTTCCTGTTCGCTGTTGCCTTGACCGAGGTTTGCTCCAGTGTGTCTGTGGAGCCACCTCTCGCCCCTGTTGAGGGTGAGGTTTTTCAGGCCAGGTCGGCGAACACCTCTGTCGAGGCTCGCCTTGATGTGAGCGCTCGAGGCTTCTTGACGCGTGGGCAAGATGCATTTTTTGATGTAAGGGTGTATAATCCCGACGCTTCTTCCTATGCGTCCAGAAGCCTGGACGCGCTCTTCCGGCAACATGAAGGTGCTAAGAGACTGCAATATCAGGAGAGAGTAGTCAATGTTGAGCGTGGTGCCTTTGCACCTCTTGTGTTTTCCGTGAATGGGGCTGCTGCGCCGGCATCCACGGCCTTCCTCAGGCGCCTTTGCCTCCTTACATCTCAATCTTCGGGAGGTAGCTATTCGTCGTTGATGGGTTATTGTCGTTATCGGGTGTCTTTCGCGCTGCTACGTTCCGCTGTGTTGTGTGTCAGGGGTGCTCGGTCGGCCCGTCACCGTCCAGTTCACATGCTTCGTGAGTTGGCGATGGTGGAGGGTCGGGTTCCCCTGCAGTGATTGGTGCTGCACCGAGCTAGTTTGGTGTGAAAGTGTTACTATTGTTATTATTCTTGTATCTATACATCAAGTATTACTAAATAATTGAGAGGCTTTGAATCGTTTTGATCAAAATCAAAATATTTGCCAGGTTGGAAGGTGGGATCAAAAAAAAAATCATCATCATCATCATCAGCCCTTTCGCGTTGGCATCGGCGTTAGCCTAGCCTTCACTTGCCAGGGAGTAGTAAAATACTACTCCCTGGTACTAGCCATGTAGAAGGAGGTCCTTGGCTACTTCAGAGAGCAGTGTGTACAATCATGTACATGACTGCTTCAACGGTACCTGTATGACACGTGTATGCGTGTGTGTGCGTGCGTGCATGTTGGTGTGTGCTTGCGTGCATGTGTGCATATGTTCATGTGTGTCCGCGTGTACGTGTGTGTGTGTGTGTGCGCATGTGTGTTTGTGTGCCCGTGTGTGTGCATGATCTGTGTGTGTGTCTGTGTGCCAGCGCAGGGACCATTAATTTCATAAATCTGTGCTGAGGGACAACTCACTGTTGCAAAACTAAGCACACATCTAAGGGGCAGGACCACTTCAGTCAGTGTTATCAAGTATCAAACAATTGCTATCTTTAATATCTTATTTGCACATTGTCAATTTCTGCTTTGCTATGAAACACAGCATTCGATGGGACACATCAACAGGCACAGACAGGGCTGCAAGCTGCAGAGACATATGTCGGTCCAGTACAGCCTGATCCCAACAATAGCTTAACTCAGCCTATTGCAAACCAACCGCAGCCTGTTGGTCAGCAGCACAGCCTTATTGGACAACCTATCAACACTGGTGGCTTCAGTAATATTATGGGGCTTAGACCATCATTAGTGGAGTCAACACTGGGTCTCCCACCACAGCCTCAACCAACCATTGGTCTTATGTCATCACCAGCACAATTTGCGATTCTCTACAGCCAGGAAATGAGTCACCCCTTCCATGCCACTGCTAGCAGCTATCTGCCGAGTAGTGTCCCAGGAATGCACGGCAGTATGGCCAGCTCTAACCATCCTGCGGAAATGCACGCCGGCTTTCCACAGACCCCACTGAACGATCTAGCACAAGGCGTCGAGTATCAACCGGAAAACCCCTCCGCCCCTCCACTGTTTGGCGGACATCCCAGAAATCTGTGCGAATGGCGTGTAAACAACGGTCTACAATTGTGTGGGTTGGCTTTCTATAGTGTCACCGAACTAGCGCAGCACATAAGCAACGCTCATCTCCAGCAACAGGACACTACCGAAAAGGAGGATGGCAACATGCACATCTGCCACTGGGACCAGTGTTCACGCAAGAGAGGATTTAAAGCTAAGTACAAGCTTGTCAACCATATACGAGTTCATACAGGTGAAAAACCCTTTGTCTGCAATCATCAAGACTGCACACACAAAGCATTCGCAAGATCCGAAAACCTGAAGATACACTACAGAGTCCACACAAAGGAAAAGCCGTTTGCCTGCACCTTCCCGGACTGTAAGAAAAGATTCGCAAATTCCTCGGATCGAAAGAAGCACATGAACGTGCACACGAAAGATATAACCTACCAATGCAGGGCAGCAGGATGTACGAAGAGATATACACACCCGAGCTCGCTTAGAAAGCACTCCAAGCAGCATGATGCTCGAAATGCAGCCAATGGCGGAAATGCTCTTTCCTACAGTACCACGGACACCAGCGCAGAGAACAGTGACTTGACGTCTGCGGATGGTTCTATTGCTGCGGACGGAGAAAGTGATCATGGCAGTTCGATTTCATCCGATGAGGTACTTGCAGACCAGCACCACCACCATCAACAACAAGAAGAACAGCAGCAGCAGCATCACCACCAACATCAACAAAAAGGTTTTGCACTTGTGACTTGCATGGACCAGTGTCAGCCTGCACAGCCGCAACACTTACCACTGGGAACATCCTCAAGGATGCTGACTGTGAATTCAACATCCACGTCATCTTTGCCTCAGTTACCTTATCATTTGCACTCTGCCCAGGCTACTGCTGGTAGTGATTTGGTCAACAGTGCACTGCCGACGCCCACACACACACAGCTATCGCTGGTGGCTCACACACCGCAGCACCAGTCATCACCTGTGTCTCAGACGCACAACCATCAGGCACAGAAGCACTCTCTCCCATCGCCGATGCAGCTGCGCCAGCAGCATTTTGCACAGCATTCGGCAACTGCTCAGCCAACACTATTTCATGCAGGACAATTGCTGCACCCCGTACCGCCCTCGCAGGTCGCTCACTCTCTGTCAGCACAAAGACACCTACCAAAAAGGCATTACTAAGCAAACAAACATTACACGGCTTGAAAACACTGTTCTCATGAGCTGGACAACTGCCTTTTCAAAATGGCGCTGCAGCCAGCTTCGTGAATGGATGTGTTAACAACTGTCAATAAGGTTTTTAAGGCACATCATCACTTTCAACCAAACAATTGCGTAATTATTATCAAAACTCCTAAGTTTTACGGAGTTCACAATTTTTTTATAATAACCTAATTCAATAAAGAGGTATGAAGTGTACAGATGCAAGTTCAATACTCGCTTTTGTGATATTGAATTATCGTATCAACGCTGTCCAACGCTGAATGTTTTTAAGGTTATTTCATTATAGATGGAGCTGGGTTATTGCTTATTAGGCTGTGGAACTTTGTCAATCAGACGACTGCCACATTTGTAGAAGTTCCTTTTTCAAATGTCTTGTCAATTTCATTTTCCGCACGTTGTCTTCACTAACATTACCCATGATGCTGGCCATATGTATATAGCGTCAGTAGAATTGCAGCTCAACATCCTAATCCGCACTGCCTTCAGTCTGGTTTCTACCCACTCACTGTCAGGATCGGGTATTTCCCCTCCAATTAGTAACCATAGTACCCGTTTCTTTTTAGTTCACTTTTTCGGCTGATCTGCTCATCCCGCAGAAATGTGTCAATACTAATGCTGGCCTAACAGATTCTACAACTGCTGAAGAAAGTCTTGTCTTATGCGATGAGCCTTCAAACACTCATAATTATCGTATCTCTGTTCAAAATAATGGGATGGAGTTTTTCTCTTATTCATATGGGAATTTGTGAGCCAGTACTCGAAGTACAGATGTGCAAGCACATCATAGAAAACAATACTCGATAGCGAAGTATTCGTGAGCAAAAATCATAAGAAAGTAACTTTAGACGCTTCTTTTTTGTGGCTAGACTGAGAAAGCACAAGACAGAGTTAGTGGTACTATGCCTTGCATGTTCCAGTACATCATGTATGCATGTTCCAGTACATCATGTATGCATGTTCTAGAGTAGCGAGAAGTTCATGTGAACCACTATCTAAGTAAAGTGCTAGAAATAAAGGCATTACTGGCACATCTGGTGGATTTCGAGTGGTAGCGCAATTTGATAAGGAACGAGCGGGCGAAGCCACATCTCTCTGACTCACAGCTGTTAGCGAGCGTTTTCAAGATGACCTTCCTGTTCACTGTTGACACATTCACTAATTCGGTGGCATTTTCTGACAGTCTCCACTTCAGAACTTTCATACATTTGTCATTTAAAATGCTAAAATCAGTAAAATCTGTATAGGCAAGTGTTGCGTAGGATTGGTGTACATACATGTACATGTATAGTGTGACTACACTACTAGAACTAGTAGTGTAGTGTCCCTGCCCGACCAATACGGAAGCAGTACGGAACTAATACGGAGCTTTGCCTGATGTATATTTAGTGTATCTCCGTATGGGGAGATACACTAGGCGCGGTGAAATCAACAAGAATTACTTTTATTCTACTTTCAGGTACACACCTGAGATATAATTGTTAGTGAAAGAAGAAGCGGCAAAATAAATAACTTTCTCTCCGGTGCTCACCTAGAGGCTGAATCCTTATTCTTCGAGTTAGCTTTCATTGCTATCCAATCTAATCTAATCTTCTCTTCATCAAAACAGAAATGCGCAGCCGCTTTTATGCAGCAGACGACGTACGCTTACATACGGAGATACACTAAATATACATCAGGCAAGCTCCGTATTAGTTCCCTACTACTTCCGTATTGGTCGGGCAGGGATACTACACATGTAATGTTCATATACATGTAAACGGAGTTTTGCGGACTACCCGCCACTATCTCGTCCGCCCCGGGATACCCGATGAAGGCTGATTCACTCGCATCTTCTGCTACATGTACTGTGTCAGTGTGAGAAAGAACTTTGAAGAAGACGAGTTCGAGCATACAATTCTGTTTTGCCATGATTTCTTCCCTGATTTTCATTGAAAACACTATCTGCATGACCTCCAAACCCTTTACCATGCAGACCACCAGCACTGATCAGGTGCATTGTGCACAATTGTATAGCCTACATACTAGAACTGTGGTATAATCGTGCAGTTATGCTCCTACCTCCGAGAAGATGCCAAATTATGCTCCAAATTTTCAACCACCAAATTATGCCAATAATTATGCCGGCATAATCCGCCGGTGCCTACTCCCTGCTCAATACACAGTGTTTCGGGGAATTCACCCGTCATCAGTTGAGTTTTAGTAGGCTGGGGAAGATTGTGCCTGAAAAGCACCACTTATATAGCGCTCTCCAGGTACAGACATTACCAGGGATACAAACTTACAGAGACGCTCCGTTTCCAGCTCGACAAACACACACCTCTTGAACACCAGATAGCAGCGTAGGTCAGTAACGCTCATGGGTGTGCTGAACAAGCGCTGAGGACCGTTGTCCATTCACAATGTTGTTGCCTCCAAACCATCTAATTCGCAAGCCAGCGCAGAAGACAATAAAAGTCCAATTTTGCAGCCGATTTTCGAACAATCAGCTGATTTTGCAATAGGGTCCAGCGGATAATGCTCCGAAAATGTTCGTATAATGCTAATTATAATGCTAAAAAAACTACCTCATAATGCTGATTATAATTCTTCAACAAGGTCTATAATGCTCTTGTTTTGGAAAAAATAGAAGAAAGGCTCCACATTGTCAAACTTCCAGGAAAGGATGCATATAGTCGATCTGCCTCTGAAGCTGCTACAATATCTCTAACGAGCGCCACCACTTCTTAGCACTATAAGACATGCTCGTCTCCATTGGCTGCTCTCCATTGCAACTTTGATGCAGGGCTGTGGCTGCATAGTGGGTGCATCAAATCTTTTCCCTTGCTTATCCATGAAGTGAGAGGTGAAACCATTATTGCTGGTGATCATTTGGATGCTAGAAGCTTATCATGGGAAGCGATATTCCTGCCTGCAGACAATCTGTCACTGCTTCCACTCTGTGACAAAATTAATAATATCTTCATCTGAAACAACTCACGTGAGGCCAGTTCCTGAGAGACGATCTCAGATCTAGATCCCTCCCATTTGCGGAAATCCTGAACACACGTGGTCAGAAGTTATTTTGCCGCTCTACATCCTCTGCTTGCGCTGTCTTCTTCTCCTGAGGTTGCGCGGAGACAAATGGTTGGCCACAATACTCTTCTTTTCTGATAGCACTTGACTGTAGGTCTTGCATTACAATCGTCCACAACGAACTGCACGTGCTTCACCAGGAAAGTAAGACACGCGCTGCTGAGCACTCAAATCGACTTGGTACTGCGTCCACGAGAAATTTTACTTCTTTTCGAGCCTGCTGAGCTGGACTCGGCAAAGGTAGTTATTTAGAACAAGCTCTTTCTGTTTATGGTTAGGGTCCAGCGGATAATGCCAGCATTATATTCGGCATTATACGACTATCCGAGCATCAGAGCATTATTGAGCATTAGAAAGGAACAAAACGAGCATTATGTGAGGTTTGAGCGGCATAACGAGTTTCATAGTGGATAATACCGGGAAATCCCAGGTTTTTGGCAACAATCGGCTATAATCATGATCATGAGATGTCTGATGATTGGTTTTTGCCATGAAACTCTGAGTAACAACGAAACAGCCCTATTTTACTCCTTTTGTGTACCTCTTGCGTACTATGCTCCTTCCATTCCAGGCATTTGAGCACTATGCATTGTACCAGCGCATGACTTTGTGATTGTGTAGACACGTAACACCTTTAGACGCTACATAACTATTGCTACAAAAACGTTTTGATTGTAGCGATGTGGTCAGGTAAATGTATACAAGCCATTTGTGAAGCATGCCCAACCGAGGCCGCGATCGCCGAGGCAGTTCAAGTGACACAAATCCAAAGAAATTATTTACGAGGTTTCTTTTACTTTTAGAATGATGGAGAGCTATGGAGAAGGCATACGCGAAGTGCATTATCAAACAGACGAAGAAGAGATTTCTAGTTGTGCCAGAGGCTCTGGCGATAGCATCTCTAGAGATAATGAAGTAGACACTGATGCATTGCTAAATATGGACCAGGATGAAGGAGCGGCTATAAACAGAAAGAGTTCGTTTCAAAAGAACCGCCTTTGCCGAGTCCAGCTCAGGAGGCTCGAAAAGAACTAGAATTTCTCATGGACTCAGTACCAAGTCGATTGCTCAGCAGCGCCTGTCTTACTTTCCTGATGAAGCACGTACAGTTAGTTGTGGACAGGTCTACAGTCAAATTCTTTCAGAAAGGAAGAGTATTTTGGCAAGCCATAAGTCTACACACCATCTTAAGGAGAAGATGAGAGCACAAGCAAAGGATGTAGAGTGGCAAAATAACTTCTGACCACGTGTTTTCAGGATTTCCGCAAATGGGAGGGCTCTCCATCTGAGATCGGATCTCAGGAGCTGGCCTCACGTCTGGTGTTTCAGATGAAGGCATTATTCACAGAGTGGACGCAGTGACAGCTTGTCTGCAGGCAGGAATACTATTTGCCAAGATTAACTTCATCCCAACAATGAATGACTACCTGCAATAATGGTTTCATCTCTCACTACCTGGATAATCAGGGGAAAAATTTGATACACCGACTATTCTGCCACACCCCTACATCAAAGTTGGAATGGAGAGCAATCAATGGAGAAGCGATCATGTATCATAGTGCTAAGAAGTGGTGGAGCTCGTGAGAGATAACGTGGCAACTTTAGATGCAGATCGACGATATGCATAATTTCCTGGAAGTTTGACAAAGTGCAGACTTTCTTCCATTTTTGTCCCAAACCAAGAGCACTATATCCCTTGCTGAAGCATTATAATCAGCATTATAAGGCAGTTTTTGGAGCATTATGGCTAGCATTATATAAACATTTTCGGAGCATTATCCGCTGGACCCTATTTATGGTCGCTCCTTCATCTAGGTCCAAATTTATCAATGGATCAGTGTACTAGTATACTTCTGTATCGCTAGAGATGCTATGGCCAGAGTGTATGGCATAACACTTTTTATTAACAGGAAAACTCCTCTTCGTCTGTTTGATATTCACTTCGCGTACGTCTAGTCTCCTCCGTGGTTCTCCATGATTTCTAAAAAGTAAAACTCCTCGTAAATCATCGTTACGGATTTTGTGCAACAGCCTCAGTTGCAACGCTTAGTTGGGCATGCTACACCACATGTACATTTACCTGACTAAACTGCCACATAAAGCCTTTATGTATCAATGGCATTATGTAGTCAGTTAAATGTAGCATAAGTGCTAAAGTTGTTTCGTGTCTACACAATCACAAAATAATCAGCCGGTACAATACATGGCATTGCACCTCACGGCTTTAGCCGATTGTTGCCAAAAACCGGACATTTCCCGACAGTATCCACTATTTATTTTATTTTATTTTATTCCAAGCAATACATGGCTGGGGTAGCCAATGACCACTTTGCGTGGCGATTGCAGGGTTTTTATAGCCAACCATGGCTAACATGGAAAAGAGTAAGAAGTCAAAAAGAAAAGGAAAAGAAGAAAGAAGCAAATATGGACTAAAATTGTGGTCTACTGGTAAAGCAAGGCGTTCCTGAATGCTGTTAAAGTAGAATTGCCCTTTGTCTCCTGGTGCAGCCTAAGCCAATGCAAATAGCCATTGAAAAGGGGGGAGTGTAGCAATGCAGAAGAGCGGGCTAGAGGAAGGGAGAGTTTGTTCCTAGTGGAGTTATCCCGTCGGAACCAGTCAAATGGTTTAAGATGCGGGGTATTTTGGAA